CCCAAAACCCCAAAACCCCAAAACCCCAAGGTAATGAATTTTTGAGATAATTGAATTGATGAAATTAAATTTAGATAATCATAGAGTTTAGCTTGGTCAAAGGTGAAGTCCTATCATTATTCAATGTCTAAATGATGTTGTTTTGCTTTGTGATGGATTCCTTTGAATTAGGCAGCTTGTTCTCTTGTAATGTCTAGGTAAAGAGTACCATGCTCTTGACTTGGCTCAATGTCAGTGCTGAATTCAGCATTCATATTTTCTCCTGGTTGAGCAGGACAGCCAATCCATTAGTTGAATGAAGGAATAAAAACAATTTGAGCTCCGATTTGCTTAGCATGAGCCCATCTCTCTCTGTAAGTGTTTCCGTTTTCTCTTCCTCTTCTGTCATTTCCGCAATTCCATCCGCAAGGATCTCCTCTCCAAGCTACTTAAACTGTTGTTACTTCATTAGTTCTGGTTTGTAGGCTTCTGTCCTCCCAAGACCAGTAGCCATACTTGCTGTAATCACCGTCTCTCAATTGAGGCTAGTTTGAAACAAAACCAGTAACGTGCCTCACAGTGAATCTATTGTCTTGGTTCCAGACTGGATTAGTGAAGGGGGAAGGTGTTCCTACATAGTCCAAAACGAAAGGCTTTTACTCATAATGGAAGTATTAGTTCTTGATATCGTTTCTTTGTAAGATCATGCCGACAATTGAATCTAGTTTTATCCTCATAGCATCCCAGGAGTGATAGACAGATGGATCAGAAGGAGATCCAACCATAATAGCAATCTTAGGTGCTCCAGCAATCTTAGACCACTCCTCAAAGAGTGCGATTGTATTAAGCTCAAGACCTTTAAGATCTTATCTTCCGTTCCAATCAGATTAGGCGCTGCAGCAGATATCATTGGACCAATCAACAACAACAAAGTCAATATGTGCTGATTTAAGCCATTCTGCATGCTTTCTCATTACACCTCTATCATCAGAAGCATAATTTCCGAGTTATGGTGTTCCCCATTAGCAGGCTCTTCTTCCTGGAGTAAACCAAGTATAGTAAGCCATGCCTACAAGTTTTGATTAGGTTACTTCAAGTAAAGTTGAGATTGCTAGTAAAACTGAGATCGTTTTCGAATACATTTGGATCTTATTTTAGGATATCTAGTTTATTATTATATTCTTAATAATAATTTCTAAGATATTTCTCAGAATTAATATTTATTGACCTATACACTTTTAGATTATAGATATTACTATTTCTATAACTCTCTTTACATTATCTTATGGGGTTTTGGGGTTTTGGGGTTTTGGGG